TGCTCAAATGCCCAACAGCGATGAAAAACATCAGCAGCAACAAGCGCTTGAAAACTTTCAACATCAGTCAGTGATGGTCGTTGATAATGGCAAGGACACCACTGATAATGTAGAACAGCTGGCCATGCACCTTGCCGCTCACCTTGTTTCTGTTGATTCTCTTTTTGAGCGTAAGGAATACCGACTTCTGCAGGATGGCAAGAAGGTGTTGCCTTTTGAAAATTCAAGCAACAGTGCTGCTAAAGTCAGCAGTCAGAGCAGCAACGAGGGCGACAGTCGAAGCAGCATCTACCTCAGTGATCTGCTGCAACCGACGTCAATTTCACTGAGTACCACCACCTCATCTATCAGCATGAGCACTCCGCTGAGTTTAAAGCATGAAGAAGAGCACCAATTTGCCAATGAACTGGAAAAACTCAAGGCAATCGACAAAAAGCACGTCGAAGGAACCGAACAGTTCAAGCTCTCAACTTTTCCGGCGCCTTCTGCCAGCCAAGAGGTGCCTCATTGTATGATGATCAATCGATTCGCCCACAAAATTTTTCAAACGGGTGAAGAAGGAATAGAAGGGGAATCGAAAAAGGGGGTGGAACAAGTTTAGTGTAGTCGCAGTGTTGATTTACCTTTTATTGAAATTATAATCTGCTTTTAATCTCCTCTTTTATCTTACACGTACCAATTGGGACAGGTAGTTCGGTAGAGCTTGTCAATGCCATGACTGCCGATCGCGGCTCTCTTCTTCTCTGCTCCCCCTGAGCCCATGGTCACCTTGGGCAGCCACTTGGCCAGGGCCGAGCCGACGCTGTGCACCATCGTCCTCAGCCGACTGCCGACGCCTTCCACCAGCGACAGGTCCAGTGTGTACCGCTCCGACTGCGCCCTGAGCACCTTCTCTCGCTTCGACGTCAGGTGCCAACGGCGGTTGGCGATCAGGTCGAATCGAGTGCCACATCGAAGGCGGTCAAAGAGGGCGGAGGCGTTGAAGAGCCGCCGAAAGAGGGCTCGAGGTGTCCACCGGCGCCAGGACGCTTTGCGGTGTAGATTGCCGTGCCACTTTAGGTACAGCTTCTCGGCGAAGCGGGCCCCGCAGCGGCTGCACTTGTACGGCTTATCTCTTTTTTCGTACGGATCACTATAATTGTGGTGCGGTGGCAGGCATAGGCGATGATTGCCACCGGCCTGACCTAGTAAACGGGTACTTTGAGAACAGTTTTGGTAATGCTGGGGCTGAGGCTGCTGCTGCTGGTGGTGGTGTTGACTGAGTCGATGCTGTCGCAAGTCGCACTCGCCGATGAACATCTCCTCACACATATCACAGGCGAAGAGCGAGACAAAGAGCGCCTCAGTGAGCGCTGGCTGACGGAGCACTGATACATCCGGCGGAGTGGCGGAGTAGGTTTGCAGCAACTGCTGTTGACCGCCGCCGTACTTGTGAAAGCTCTCCCGGTGCGCCTTCAAGTCCTTCTTCCGGGTGAACTTGAGCGTGCACTTGGCGCACTGGTACTGCTTTCCACAGCTGCCGTTCTCCTCCTCCTCCTGATCTTCCCCACCTAGACTGTGGTGGTCGGAAGGTCGGCTCAGTGCGTGTAGCATCAGGTGACACCAGAGGCTGTAGTCGCAGTCGAACTTTTCGTCGCACTCTCGACACATAAAGAGGAAGGTGCCACCAGAATTCGGTTGAGCGGTGTTGTTGTTGCTGGAACCACCAGCCCTAGAATGAGCTGCACTGCTACTTTCGCTGTGATGCGTCGCCACATGTCCCTCCAGCGACTGCTGGTGGAGGAACTTCACCTGACAGAAGGTGCACTGGAAGAGCTGCTGCCGCCCATCGGCGGCCCTTGGCCGTGAGTGTCTCAGTGAGACGTGCTTCGTGGTGATGTGGTGCATCAGCTTGCACCGCTGGCGGAACTCCTTGCCGCACTTTGGACAGCGGCAGCGCCACTTCAGCTCGCCGCGGTTGAACTCAAACTGCTGCGGCTCGAAGATGTCCCACATGGTGCCATTCGTGTTTGTGCTCATGATGAAGGTGATAGGATAAAAACAAAGTTGATCAAAGTTGTGCTGAAGGGGTTTGCGGCAAGGAAAAAGGAAAAACAAAATAAAAGTGAGTGAGTGAGTGAGTGAAGTGACAGAGGAGGCGCAGAGAAAGTGGAATTCGCTCAGGTCACAACAAAATGCGCTCTTTTTCTACTGCCTCTCTGCTCTGTGTGTGCCTTACTCACCCGTCTGGCTGCCGTCCGGGCCCTGTTGCTAGGTATGCAGCCTTAGCAGTGTATTTGTGTGTACTGTGGTTTGCTGGAACGGCCAAGGTCTGCGGCGTCTGGGCCTGATCAGGGGCAGCAGCACTGCTCAAGGAGAGATGGGGAAAAGGCAACGGCAGCGGCAGGAGAAGAAGAAAGCAGCCATTGACAATGTGCTTTCACCTCGCTAAGCAGTGCCGTGCTGTGGCTGAAGGCCACTTGTTGCTGCTGCTGTTGCAGTTCAACCCGAGACCGGTCGGACGAGGAGGCACGCGCGGATTGCGGCGAGAGTGAACGAGAATGCCAGCCCAGGCATGCCACTCTCTCTCTCTGCAGTGCTGCTTCTGCAGTG